ATGTCACCAATGTGTGCAGATTGGGGGGGGGGGGGTAATAAATAATGTCACAATGAAAAAACTATGAAAGTTCATAACACTGCGCTTAAGTTTTCTTTCAATAGATGAATGTGATTTCTTGTTTTGTCGAGATCGTCCTCGTTATAACTCAGGTCACTGCGTTTGTGATTTCTGGACGTTCTGTATGATAATCAAGAAACCGTAACACAGCCGTGAATGAGTTAATGACATCAAGCTATGAGTGAAGTGCTCATGAATAATTAATATCTGATCAGACGCAGACAAGACGCCAGCTTCAGATGAGTTTCATTCATTTGCACTCGATTAGCCTCCGTCAGTTTCTTCATTTACTGAATTTTCCTCAAAAATGAGACTTGTTTTTTTTAGAAAATATGGAACCGGTTATAATTATTTGTATGGACTATAAAACTGTATTTTATTGGAAAAAGGTAATTGCAACTTAATTCTGACTTTTTTCTTGCAATTGTGAGTTTTTTTTTATATATTTGTTTTGAATGAAAGAAAGATCTCAGAACTGTGAGATCTAAATATAAACGTGCAATTGCAAGAAAAAACTAACTTTTTAGATTTTTTATTCCGTGGAAAGTAGAAAAAAACATGATGTAAAAAGGTCAGAATTGTGGGATATAAACTCAGAACTGCAAGGGGGAAAAAAATCTGAATTGTGCAATAAAAAATCACAACTATTTTATTTTGAATTCACTGGCAGAACTTGGCCTGCATAGTATTTTGGATGAATTTGAGTGAAACTCCTCTGATTTGTCCTCATCAGCGTGGAATTATTCAGTAGTTTGTTTGTCATTGTATAGGTGACAGTGATGTTGGACTGAGGCTTTGATTTGATGTGACTCTCGTTCACATTTAAATTGAATTCTTATAAATGCAGTATTTCTTCAGGATTCATCAGTAAAGCGTTCAGCGCTCACAGTTTCTCATTCAGATCTCAGGAGAGATGTTTCAGATATTTCTCCTACAACTAAAAACAGACCCAAATGAATCTCTAGTCATGATCCAGACCTGTGATCTGGAGATCTGAGGTCTCTTTCTCAGGAGGAGCGTCTCCTGCTCTCTGTTTGTGTAGAAGAAAGCACTTCAGGAGATCTTCAGGAGGTTTGCGGTGATGGTCGGTGATGAAGCGCTGGTGTTCATGAGTTATTCATCGGCATTAATTGTGCCGCGTCCGTCTCTGTTGACTGATATCCCAGCATGCACTAATGGAGCTGGAACTGAGCGCCAGAATGGACTGCTTCTACTTTCCTAATGTTGCTATTATTATGCATGATTCATCTTCATAATGTTCCAGTCTTACTCTCTCTGTCTCTGAAATAAAACTTTGGATGGTATGGATGGATGGACAGTAATATGAACTAATGTTAGCAATCCACTCTTCACTGTTCATGATTTCGTTGCATTTTATTTTTTCGTTGAATTATTATTTTTTCTATTTATTATTTTTTTAAAGTATATGTCTATATAGTTTTATCAAGTTTAAGTTTTAGTAGGTTTTGTTGTAGTTATTTTAGTACTTCAACACACACACACACACACACACACACGTTAAAAGATCTAAACCAAACTGTTATTTGAAATTGTAATAATATTTTACTGTTTTTTTCTGCATTTTTGATCAAATAAATGCAGTCTTGGTGAACAGAAGAGACTTTTTTCAAAACCATAGAAAATCCTACTAAAAAAATATGCGTAGTTTTCTTATCTTTTGTTAATGGTAAACGCTGCTGGGTGCTGTATTGAATGTGTTTTGAATCTCTCACTGTGTTTTTCTCAGACGAGTCGTCAGGTTTCGGGCCGGTGTTTGAGGAGCAGCCTGTCGACACCATTTACCCTGAAGAGTCTCCAGAGGACAAGATCATCATGAACTGCAGGACACGAGCAAACCCACCGGCCACATACAGGTCACACACACACACACACACACACACACACACACACACACACACACACAAGCTCTCTCCTCCGCCTGGGGCACACACACACATTCTTGTATTTTGTGATTTACGGGGACTCTCCATAGGTGTAATGGATTTTATACTGTACAAACTGTATTTTCTATCACCCTACACTTAAACCTACCACTCACAGAAAACTACTGGCAAATTTTGAATTTCATAAAACACCGTTTTGTGTTTTTTAAGCCTTTTGTTTTACGGTGACACAGGAAGTGTCCTCATAAACCATGTTTACGTTGTAGTAC